TTCTAAAAGACAGAGAATTCCAATCTGATTTTCATGGACAATATCTCTAATTGTGATAGGGAAAGGTCGGTCTCCAGCCCTCGTACAATTCCAGCTAGCAATATTCATTAGTAAACAAAAAAGGGAGAAAAGCCACAGTAAGGCTTACCGATTTTCTGCCGTGCTTGGAACAAATTCCAAGTCTTCCGACCCATTCTCTGCCAAGTCCATGGCTGCGTCCTCCATATATTCCATATCACTCTCCGATTGGCCTGTACCAAGGTCTGGGGCTTTAGGATCGTCATGCACATTTTGTCTAGACCGAGAGTCATTTTCATGTTGCTCAACTCCCCCGGTATACTGTGGGGCTTGTTCGTTTCGTTCATGTTTGTCAGCGTCTGTTCCATCAGGCTTCCCTGTATTCATCGCACTGTTCAGATTGATTAATCAGTCCATCTGTCCACACACAATCACATGAGATTGTTGGCTCACCGCTTTGGCCTTGTTAATTTTATTACGAACCACTAAAGCCCATTCTTGCCGAGTACCAGCCCCCTACTTCTGTGTTTCCACTGTTGGTTCATTCTCCTTGTTCAAAATGGGCCTTTCATTTTCCTTACCCTAGGCCTAGTATCCACTTTTTGAATAGCTTGGGGCAATGTGCATTCCACTGCCTTTTGTGCCTGCCACCACTTTTTTGTGTATAGTCAGAGCTTTCTTCTGCTTAGAAGCTACTATTAGCTCCTCCTTTCCAGTTTGACTACTTGTCAAGTTCTCACTATTTCCTACCTCCTTTTTGTCTTTATTCTCCTCTTCCAGTGTATCCAGCACTACAAACCTTGATTTAGTCATGGGGATATCAGTTCTTCTGACACTTCCAACCCCCTGTCTATGGTCATTTAGACCTTCTCTCTAACTCTTAGTTCTCAATAATCAAGATCCTGAAGACCCCTTGGTAAACATCCAAGGACCAAAGGTCTTAGGGTCCACCGGTTTTGTGTTCTCGGTTCGGTTTTCTGACGATTGATTAATCGGATTCACTATGCTAGTACTTGCAGAGCTCTGCTAGTTTCTTTTTTTCCAAGGACAAGCTTCCCTTTTGCGGCCATAACGTCCACACTCAAACTAGATGAGCTTCAGCCCCTCATATTCAACATTAAAGACTTTATTTGTCACGATTATCCTAGGCACAAGTTGCTTCTGCAGGTCGAGTTCGACGCATAATCTTGCATAGCTACCCCTTTCCACTTTAGCATCTGTGGCCTTCCTATCTTATAAGGTATTAAGATCCACTCGTAAGAGTCTTCCAATCCTTTCTCCTAATAAGGTAATGCAGTGGCTGTTATAACAGTGCATGGGTATGTGTGGGATCCTGACCCAAGTAACGATACGTCCCAACTGGTTCTTAAAGGGATTAAAATATGGTGTCCACCTTTGAACAAATATGTAGTGCTACGCTATGGTCCATGGTCCTTCATAGAGCACTTTCCTGTATACTATGCTTGGATGGAGAGCAAATGAGGGAGGAAGGAAAATGGGAGGAGAAATGGTTTTTACTCTATTTGGATAAGAGAAGAAAAGTGAGAGGAAAGAAAAGTTGGAGAGACAATGAGGTGGGTCCCACAGCCCATTTTCCTCCCTACTTTTCTCTCCATATATGGAGAGAAAATGAAAAAAAAAAACATATTTTTCCTCTTTATCCTTACATATTTTTTTTTAAAGAAAAATAATACCTTTTTTTTTTCATCTTTTCACTTTATTTATTATTATCAAGTCTTTCTTCTGTGTTGGCTTGATTGAAAAACAAAATAACTAAAATTGCAAAAATCCTTCTAAAATGAACTGAAAGGAAAAACAAATAGAGTTGTTGTTTTGGTTTTTTTTTAGCATTACATTACACAAAATGCTATTTTTTTTACAAAATTATTTGATATTAAAATATAATAATATGATAATATATCTTTATCAAATAATTTGATTTTAAATTATATGATTATGTTAATGTAAATATGGTTTTTCATTATGATATTTAATTTAATTTTAATCAAGATATATTTTGCTATAACAGAAAGGGTATTTTAGTTATTCATATATATACTTATTTTTTTCTTTCTGTTTCTCTTGTTCATCCAAACATAAAGGGTGATAATATTTTCTCTCCAATTTTCTCTTCTCTTCATTTTCCCTCCTCTTATTTTCTTTCCTCTCAACTTTTCTTCTCATCCATCCAAACAGAGGGGTAGTGTTCTTTCCAGCGTTCTTTGTTGGTGAGCCTGACCACGAAATAATTATTGGGTATGTCGATCAGTTCACAGTCTTGGAACCCCCAAATGCACATCAGATGGGATTTCAGCATATAGATATTGTATCTTCTTCCCAGAACACTGATTATTAGAGAGAAGTTCCACGACTTACACCACTCATTATATCCCTCGGTAGGGACAGGCACCACTGGGTACATCTTCATGAGACTTTTGACCTCCTCTGTAGGCTCCGGCATACTCCAACATACTTCTTCATCATTCAGAAACAAGTCATCTGTTTCCATACTAGTGTTACCATATGCTACTCTATTAAAACCCATCAGCGACTGCTTGTATGACAGCACAGGTGTGCTGTAGTTTTTTTTTCCCCCTCTTCCAAGACCTCCTCAATCCTTCCTTCATCTTCGTTCTCTTCCAGATCCTTCTGTTCTGCCTCCTTTTCCTCCATGTTATCATTCATGATAGCGTTAACTATCTCTTCCACCTTCTTTTTCTTTTTCCGGTCAGCCTCAGAAGAATCCAGCGGCCGATCCGGTGGAGTTTTGCGTTGATTTGTGTCTTCTATGCACGCACAAAACTTGGCACAGAAACCAAGAGAGAGAGAAACGTATTCCCTAAGAGCCTAAAAATCAACGTCATCTTTTCACTTTTTTTAATTATTGTCGGTATAAAAAACTGTCAAGTCAGGATACCATATTAGAAAGCAAGAAACATTACAATTTTTTTTATTTGGAAACGGCCATGGTCTGGATCTTCAGCATGAGTCTTGTGCCCGCCTTTACCTTGGCTGATTTGACTTAGCTTCATGCAATTTACATCATGAAGAAAATATCCCGTCATCGATGAAATGGTCTGCATCTTGACTCTGGAATTGGAACAGGGCTCATGTGCTAATGATTACTTGTATTTTATTAAGTGAAGTTTTTCTCTTGCGCTGATATGATTTATCTTTAGCCTGCGCCTTTCTAATGTTTTTAAAATCTTATTGTGGAATCAGTTCATTGATCTTCTGGAAGAACATCCTAAGTTGAGGTTATCACGAGCCAGTGTCTCGCACCGGGGAAAGAATCTGTACATGCAAGCGCCACCTGTATTGGAAGAAATGACTCGATCAAATCTGAGCCCAACTCTTTTTAATCCGATGGGTAAACCATCCAGGGATATTGTTCATATGAATGGTACAGCCACCACGAACGACCAAAAAGTCTCCTGCCTGAGAAAATTATCAGTTGTTTTCAAGGGAATTGATGGTGTTACAGATATGGACACAGCAGGAGGAGCGTAATTTTGCATCAAGGGTTTACAAAACATGAAAGGTTTATGAGATTTGAGAGATCATGGCAGATTGCTAGTATTGTTGAGGCAGAGATAATTATGAAAAATGATCTGAGCGTAATGATATTTCTCTGTAAGAATCAAATAACTCCTCAATATGGTTATTCAATTCAAAACCATATTGATCTAAATAGCCATATGGTTTGATTGTTCGACCCTCATGGATGAAATTAACGTGGACTGGCCCAGCCTCATGAACATTTCTCAGTTTCTTTCTGCGGATTTGTTGCCCCCTGGATCATAGCTTACTGATTAATTCCATTTTATCATATATGCTTAATTAGATTGATATAGCTCCGGTACACCATGGATTTAACTTTTAGCTTAAATTTTCTGGGAAGTGGGTTGCCTCTTATTTTTGTGATTTTGTTTTCGGCTCATATGTATGAGTTAGTTAATGGGGCTGTTTTGATCCTACATGCAAATATAATTATGATATATTGGTTTTTTTAGGAAAGTTGGCCAAAAAAAAAAGAACTTGAAAAAAAATATATTTATGACGAATAGTTAAATGGTATCTTGAACATAAATTATTAATAATACTGATCATGAGATAAATTAAGCTCAGCCGCCGGTCCACATAGGCATCATAGAGTCACGTTATGCCTGGTGCCTGTGGCATGGTATGGATTCGGGTCTCTCAACTGCCTCACTCCCACCTAATACTCAACCCAACTTTCAAAAGTGAACGTGAAGACAACAGAAATTTCCAGCATTTTTCAAGCTCACATAATAATCAATAGGAAGCTCTTGAAGCTTAAATTGGAACCTGAGGAAGAAGCAGAACAATTACTCGTAATATTATAATCTTCATGCTTTCTCAGGTCTTCTCAGCTGAATCAATCACCCATCCTCCTCCTCATCAATCTGTGTTGCTGCTCCTCCGCCAGACTCTGAAAAGCCAATGAGGAATCTAACCGATGCCAGATGTTCTTCGTACCTCAATTTCCTGCTCATTATTCCTTCAAACCCTGAAATTTCTCCTCCTTCTGTGATTTCCACCGTTGTTTTAATGCTTTTTATTCGCCTCTCGTCCAATCACTTCGCTCCGCTGACATGAAACTTGACATTAATCTCTCGGACAATTTTTGTTTTGTTTTTGTTTTTTTTTTTGGTTGATTTTCTAGTATATTGCTGGCATTCGGAATGGGAGATCTTGTAACTTGTCTAACTAAGCATCCATGCTGATTTTACATTTTTTGAATTTTAAATATACGAAGGCTTTGACTGATATATAGAATTTTGTTAAAAGAAGCTAGCCCATAAGCCCACGAACGTGAGAGAGCCACATGTTCGATGTCTGAAATTGAGACTTCGGCCATTGTGAATGACAAATGTTCAATCTTGGAAGGATCGCCGTGCTGCGAGTGGCGTAAGAAATAAATTTCGCGACCATTTCGAAGTTTTCGAAGCAAACGAGGAATGGCGGTCGTCTACTTCGCCTCCTTCTCTCTCCTCCTTCTGCCTCCTCTTGCTGTTCTCATTCTCCTGTACTTCATCGTGCGGCCTCGTCCGGTGAAGATCCCCATCAAGAATCGCCACGTTTTCATCACCGGCGGATCGAGTGGGATCGGTCTCGCCCTGGCTCGTCAGGCTGCGGCTGAGGGTGCTCGCGTCTCGATCCTTGCTCGCTCTGTGGATAAGCTTGAGGAGGCCAGGAATTCGATTCGCCTCTCCACCGGCATCGATGTGGCTGTCTACTCCGCCGATGTGCGCGACTACGACGCCTTGAAGCGGGCCGTGGATGAAGCGGGGCCTATTGATGTGTTGATTGTGAATCACGGGGTGTTTTGGGCCACGGAGATCGAGAAGCAGGAATTGTTTGGGGTGAAGTTCATTATGGACGTGAATTTAATGGGGAGTTTCAATTTGATCAAGGCTGCGTTGCCGGCAATGAAGAACAGGATGGACAGGGGACCTGCTTCAATTGCTATTATGTCGTCACAGGCTGGTCAGGTATTTGTCCAATACTTCGAAAGGATTATGCACCTTCATTATCAGTATTATTTATGGTCTTAAAGTGATCTGTGTGTGTGAGAAATGGGATTTCAATATGTTTCCTTGATAAAACTGCGTTGGCAAACATCTAGAAATGGTTATAATTTTGGCTCTCTATATAAAGGGGATTTTTAAAAATTAAACTATCCAAAGGGGAAGTCTTTCGTTTTTAACGTTGGGACATCAATTCAAGGCTTTTCCATGTAAACATTAGCATAAGAGGGAAGACTATCACTCTCTTCTTCGGTAGAAGTTGCTTCAAATGTTGTCTGACATATCATGCCAATGCCGGACCAGTGTATCTAATGTTCATTTGAAAAACTTATTATTTACTGGTTATTAGACAAACTCGTGAAATAGAATTTGTACATCAACTGTGTTGAGTGTTGCTACCATGTTTAAAATCATTCTAGGCGGTTTTGGATATCCTGTAAGCAATTACTAGAATGTGCCCTCTGAGAAATGTTACTGGCATGGAATACGTGGCAGAACTCAAAATTGTAAGCCTGCAAACTTAAACCATGCATCTACATGTAGATGGATTATCAAGAATGCTTGAAGTTTTCATTCAAATAATCATTGAAGGATCATGTATGCTAATTATCTCTTTCCTCAGATTCTAAAACTGTTAATAAAAATTTACAAGTTAGTATTGTGAAGCTATATATCTGTTGACGTGAATTTATGTTTATCTGTAGGTGGGTATTTATGGTTATACAGCTTATGCTGCCAGTAAATTTGGGCTTCGTGGACTAGCAGAGGCATTGCAGCAGGAGGTTATAGCGGATAACATTCGTGTTTCTCTTATATTCCCTCCAGACACGGACACTCCTGGTCTATCGGAAGGTATTGAATAGTTTTTGAGCTCATTTATTCAATCACAAATCAGTGCTCATTTTGTACTGGTAATGAGTTGAGTAGCCTCTTGGATATCATCTGTTATCAATTTGATCTTGTTTGTTCAACCCGATCATGGATGTCAGAAGCCATAATCTACAGATCAGAATAGTTGAATCCATATTTCAAGCTGATTGTCATACTTGGCTAAATATTTCCTTTTGGTGGGCCTTGATAGTACATAAAATTTTGTTCCTAATTTGCATTATATATAAGCGAGTTGTAAAATCAGTCCTAAGGGGAATGGTATATATATTAAGGGAATGCTCGTAACTCACGGTACAATTATTGCCCACAGGGTTATGGCGTCATGGAATTAGAATGTCAAAATCTGTTCCTTTTGTATGTGATGTGCACCAAATATCTGATTATTTGATCCCTTGTCAGGTTTTTTCCCTTCTTTTTTCTGTAGTCAAGGGAGTTGATAAACTGAAACATGCTTTTTACAGAAAACAAGAAAAAACCACAGATAACCAGTTTAATTGTGTCCTCTGGCGGTTTAATGAAAGCTGATGAAGTTGCTCAGAGAGCTTTAAATGGCATCAAATCTGGCAGCTTTTTCATCCCCTGCAACCTTGAGGGATACTTGCTGGCCCTAGCAACTTCTGGGTTTTCCCCACAGAGCTCATTCTTGATGGCCTTTGTTGAGGTTTTTGCCGCTGGAATATTACGCATTGCTGTGCTATTTTTCCAGTGGACCTGGTACAGAAGTATAGAGAAATTCCATGCCCAAAGACGTGGTAAGTGTTGAGCAAACTAATTTCTATGAAGGGATGGAGGAAACATCCCGCCCTTATATTCTAATTTATTCTAGGCAAGGTATCTATCTCAAATATGCTAAACTCATTTGGTTAAGATTAAAGAACTTTAAATTTGGTTGCTTGCTTGTGTAATTATGTTAACACGATTGTCATGCTGTTAACCTTTTTATTTGGGTATAAAGTCTTTAAAAAAAAAAAAACGGAGAGAGAATCAATTTTCTTGCTTTGATTTTTATTTTCCAGACGTTGCAAAATTCTAATTCCTGAAAGATTGTTTAATGGAATTAACCTTGTGCTCTGCTCTCAGTCTTCGTGCACTTGGTAAGGTTCACAATCTTATTTTTATTTGTGCTAATAACGACTAAACACCCCAAAAAAAAAAAATTCTCTCTCTTTCCTGGGAGGGGTTAGATATGAACTATTTTTCATAATCTTAACTTCGCAATATCACTTTCATATGATTTGTTCTAAAATGGTTGATGTTTCTTGGTGAGATTATTTGCATACAGCAATGCTGATCCTGTAACACTATACCCTTTTTTTTGTAGGCAAGTAGATATTGTTAGATGGATTTTTTTCACCTGAGTTTCTACTATCATAGCTGTCCTCTTCAACTTTATGATGGTCTGTGGTCTCCTGAAGCTGCTAAAAAGTTATTCAAATCACAGTCCTGCTATACTTGTGGTATTGTTGAACTGTTCTTCTATCGGTTCCAGACAATCCCCCAATGAGCTGATGCTCGTCCATATGGCGTGTTTTCAGATATATGATAGCAGATAACAGGATATGGTTTTGTTCCGGTCTTTTCAATGTTGAGACTATGATTTATGATAAACGAGAACTCATTAATTTTGTAATCGGAATCAAGGTCAAGTTCAGGTTTGTGGTTTCTTTACTTCATCTATGAGAATAGCTCATTGTTAAGTATGCTTGGTGGAGGGTAGAAAGAAAGTGGAGGGGAAAGGGAAGGAAATGATGTGATTTTCAGTCCATGTAGTTGGAAGTTAGTCGCATACAATAGTCTTTCAATGAATTCTGATATACCAGACTATTGTAAAAATAATTTAAAAATAGGGTTAATATTATTTTGTCTCTTGACCTCCTTTTAGCTATCATTTCAGAAATTTGAAATCAGTGGTTTTGCTTCCTAAAACTTGATTTTATTTTGGTTTGCCTAAAGACTCCTAGGGATCAAAACCAAATACAGAGGGCATTAACCCTTAAAAATATGAATGAGAATTGTATGATGCACAAAGTGGGTGACAATAATTTGAAAGGAGAAAGATAATTTTCCTGGAAGGGAAACAAAATAGAGAAGCATTAAAAAAACCAGTAACATGCTAGGCAGTGCATTAATTCGTAACGTCAATTTTTCCAGGATGGATGGTTGGATGGATGTTATTTCAAAAACTTGTTTTCTTAGGCTAAATTTTTGTACTGTAGGTTTATTTTTTAATTGTACTGTGTAAACTTTCTTTATAATTAATGATCTTTTTTAAAAAAAAAAAAGCAAACTAGAGGAACGAAATACTATTTGATTGTTTCATATGAATCTTATTTTGCCCTCCCAATCTTTCCTGTCTCTATTTTTGGTGAGTACTGTCCTCAAAAAACTTTAACGCATCTAAAACAATGATAATTGACGAAGATTATGGGAAACCGTTGATAAAAATGGGAAAATAAAAAGACAAAAATATTGATGTGCTACAGAAAAAGAGAGTACATTTCAGAAAGATACAACTGTATTAAGAATCTACGGCGGTGCTTGTTTGCCTCCGTTTAGAATAATGTTTTTGCGCTTTACAGAAAAACTACTGCCATGTATTTATCTCATACTCCTCCGATTCTTAATATAAGATCCAGTTAACTAATTTGATTAGATTAAGAAAGTTAGATAAGTTAGTTAATTATAAGAAATGTGACACGTTTTTCTTAAAATACCATAATCATCTTTCTTAATACCCCCTCTGCCTCTTCTACTTGATTATGGTGAGGGAGTATTTATAGGGTAATTTAGAGATAATTGATAAATATGAGAAATAGGTCTTATATTTAGGACTAAAACCAACTCAATAATTGGATCCTATATTAAGGACCGGAGGAGTATAGTATAATAATACAGAATTACCTTTTCACAATTAATCCAGACAGGCACCTAATCACGTGGGAAAAAAAAATTTATATGCAGTTCACTTTGTGCGCCCTATTCCCTCTGAACATATAATTATATAATTTACAAGCAAATATATGCATGTTTTTCACACTCCTAACCCTTTGGGTAAATTATCTAAGAAAAATGACATAAAAAGAAGTTAAAAATTTATAAATACCAAATAAAGAATATTAACAAAAAATTCAATGTTATTTGTAAATTCAGTGTTGTCAACACCAAATAAACTATTGTTACTAAATCTAATTTGAAATTTAGTAATTTCTAGCTTCTTTTTTGTCATTCTTCTAATTACCTACTGCCTGATACTTGTGACTAATTTTTATTAAAGTTGAATATGTAACGTTAATTGGGGGAAAACTCTTCCAACAATTTCATTTATTTAGAAGACTTGAACTCAAAATCTAATTAAATAGTTTTTTTTTCTTGTCCTAAATATAAGAGCTAGTTGATAGGTTTATTTTTTTGTTCTAAATGTGAAGCCTTAATTTAATTCACTTTGTTTCTTATATTTTATAATTTTTTTCTCAAACTATCCCAATTGTTTGCTCATATTACAAGCATCAATAGGGTAATTTTCAATACAAATAACTTAAAGTGGATATTTTCAAAACATCCTCACAAATTGTTTTTTTTTTTAATTTTTGGAAAGAGGTTGGGCTCACCCACGATCCAAGGGTAGGACGAAATCTCCCTTCCTCCTAGGTCATACCAATGTTGGGCAGGGCGAGCCATCAATTACTCTCAGGCGTTTACCTAGGCACCCAAGAGTTAGAATGCCTCCCCAAGCGCCGCGACTAAAACCACAATAAAATGGTACTCTTCAGGGATCGAACACATGCCAATTTAGTCATATATCTCACCCCTTCACCAACTGAACCCACGGATGATGGGTCCTCACAAATTGTTATGCGAATAACTTAAGGAGTTTGTTGAATAAGGCTTTTGAGTGATCATATATAGGCTGAGTGTTAGGACGCAGGCCCAAGTGTTATTTGCTCTGGGCTCAATAGCTGGAGCATTGTGGGCCCCTTGAAGACGAAGATGAAGAAAAGGGCAAAGTTTCAGGCGGAACAGGCCGTTAGAAGCAAAGCAATCTTGTATTCTGGTTCTTTATTGCTAATTTGCCAGCATCGACCCCAAGTAAGCAACCACCTTTGGCCGCATTTTGTCCTTTCTACAGATTCTGGTGACCCGTGAGAAGGAGCAATCTTGAATCCACAAGACATGGCATCCTCCGTCGTGAAGCGAGCTACTTGCTCCGCCGTGGCTGTTCTTCGATCCGGAGCGTCACTGAGGTCTTACGCTAGAGTTGCATCTGGCACTGACATAATCGCTGCCGCACCTAATGTTTCTCTCCAGAAAGCTCGCTCCTGGGATGATGGGGTCTCATCTAAGTTCTCCACCACTCCTCTCAAAGATATCTTCAAGGTCCCCCCGCCAACCCCTTCCCAAGAAGAATATTTTTTTGGTGTTGAATTGCTTGTTTGATGTTTCGTTTTTGTTTTTGTTTTCAAAGGTGAATTTTCAATTTGGTCCATGCATTACTTGCAATATTGTCAGCTAGAAAGACGCGGATTTTGGATTAAATAAATGGAATGGCAATGTTGCAACTTGCTAGAGTCTTTACTCTTCGCCAAATTTGGGGACATTATGAATTATGAATTAAATAAAACTTGAGCCTATCTTTCGATTTTTTTTAATCCCTTTCTTTTTCTTTCTTTGTTTCATCATATTTGGTCTCGCTTCTAAGATCTTTTACATTCATGATGTTTCAGGACAAGAAAGTGGTCATCTTCGGCCTTCCTGTAAGTTGCCATGACAGTATGCTTTAAATAACGTATAACATGTTATGCATTTTGTGGTGTTTGTATTACTGTTAGCATACACTCCCTCAATTTGACATATGGTTGTGAATGTATTCTGCTTATTTTTTACTTTCTGTGGTATTTGTCTTCCTCCTTTCAAAGGACAAAAAATTGATGTTAATATGGGGGAATGGATGCTTTCTATTATATATATGGAGCTTTTTGAAAGAAACTGTCATCTTGTTATTTGTATTCATCTAAAGCAATCTGCTTATCATGATGATTTGGAATGTCTCAGGGTGCATACACAGGAGTTTGCTCAAACAAACATGTTCCTGCTTACAAAGACAATATTGAAAAGTTTAAGGCTAAAGGCATTGATTCTGTTGTTTGTGTGTCTATCAATGATCCGTATGTTATGAATGCGTGGGCGGAGAAACTTCAAGCCCAAGATGCTGTAAGTTAGCCCTGCCCTTTTCCTTGACCATCAAGAGTACACCATGCACTGTGTTTTCAATTTCCGTCCTTGACAATCATTGTATTGGTCATTAGTTTTTAGCCTTAAAAATTAGTTATTCTCTATTTCCACTTCCATCTTGCTGTCTTTTTGTTACCCATTTCTTGTTTGGTAACTCGCAAGATCATTCGTTTTCACTTTGAAACCTTGTGCGTGTCCATCATAAGTTTTAGTGTTAGCTGGTTCGGTATTTAGTTCACCAGTTATCGCAACACATAATAGCAGTCTGCCTCTTCTAGGATTGGATTTTTAGAAAATGAGAAGGATTAGAGACTTTTGGTTGTTGTTTGATTTGACTAGAGACTTTGTTTTGGCAAAAGGTATTGAGGTTTCTTTCCCCCCAATTTTTATAGTGATTGGGTGACTAGAATACCTAAAGTTGCAATAATTGTTGACGTGCAAGAAGAATAAAGTGATTTTTTATGAACTTTGTCCTCCCAGAAGCCCAAAAATGTATTTAATCTATATGGAGATTGTGTCCTTTACAACACATACTATGGCCACAGTTGCATTAGTATTGATGTTTGTGTCGGATTATCATGCTTCAATAACTGAGTTTTGGGGTGTAAAACATTTTTTTGCAGATTGAATTTTATGGGGACTTCGATGGGAGCTTCCATAAAAGCTTGGATTTAGTAACAGATCTCTCGGGTGCTCTGCTCGGAACTCGATCTCAAAGGTATACTGCTCATGCTAAAAATCTGTCGTGCACATGACTATTATGTGGTCTTGAACATGTTTTACGGAATTTGCTTTCTACATGATGACATGAATCTTCTCTGCCTTCCACTATTATTTTTGCTTCTCTCTAAAGAATAGCTTGTGTTGTTTTGGTGTAGATGGTCAGCTTATGTGGTAGATGGGAAAGTTAAGGCTCTTAACGTTGAAGAAGCTCCATCTGATGTCAAGGTTTCTGGTGCAGATACCATTCTGGAACAGATTTGAAGTTTCTATGCTTTGTATGCATATAAGATTGTAATAATATGTTCTTTTGTTTTCCCCCCCATCCCCATAAGATGTAACCCTCCCATAAGATGTGTATCTGATGCTTCCGGCAGAGGGGCAATGCTGTAAGTTGCGTCTCTGATGCTTCCTTTGTTTATCGGTAACAAAAGCGGCTAATGGCAAATAAGTTTCTTGCATGAAGCATGTCTGTTTGACGTGTAATGATCTCTCTTAGCCGTTTCTTGGGGGGTCATTTACGAGCTCTAATCTATTATCAGACTCTTCTTTTAGCTTTCACCCTGCATCTTTTTACTATACATATCCCTTGGTCACTTCCGGTGTAGTTCCAGAGTCATATATTGTATCTACGGCATTTCCCCTTTGAAAAGTTACATGTTCCGGAGCTTGACAAATCAAAAACATAAATCTGTTAGGGTGCCAATTATTGTCCAAACCTGCTCTGCCAAGCTTGAAGCTTTTAGCAATAATGCTATTAGCAGATGTTTATTATTATTTTTTTTTTTAAAAGTAAGCAATGTGAAAGCATATAAATATATGTATGATATTACTTCTTTTTTAATTTAATCTGTTTTTAAATTTTTAATTTGTGTGTGTGTGTGTCAGTGTGTCTGTGTGCACACTCGCTAAATACAAAAGATCAGTTAGATTGTTTCAGTATCGCACTCTCGCCCTTGAGATCTTGTAGAAACTATTCAATCTCTTCCACAGTAATGCTTAACTTCAAACTTTGAAGACAAAATTCACAACGTTTAAATTACAGCTTATTGTTAGTATATGACATACAGCAATCTTTGAAGTTCCAAACAATGTGAGGTTCTGTCTTCATATGATTCATTTTCAGCTTTGTGTAATTAGACAAAGTAAACTTGAAATCATTGTTCAACATGCGATAACTTGCAGAAGTAGCCCCAAGGGAGATGGTACAGATGCAGCTGGACTGCACCGCTCTGCCAACACAGCCTTGAGCTTATCCCCAGTCCTACACATGACCAGAAGACTCCACATATGAAAGCTCCTATGACACGTTGGCATTATAAATTACACGTGGCACCCATATCCCCTCGTACCTGTCGATCATTCCCCATTCGAGGGGCCATTACTCATGCCTACAACAGCATCATCTGCTCATTATCACAACACGTAGTTCTAACTTGTAAACTCACCTCCTACTTATATTATTATACTCTCTGCAATTGATCTTCATGCAGCAAAAAGGGTTCTTCGCCATCACGATCACAAACTGTTTCTGATTCTGCAGAAATGGCCAGCAATGAGCAGAAGTTCCCTCCCAGAGCCAACAAACCCACCCCGGCAAACAACATGTCATGGATCCCACCCCACAATCCACCATTCCTCACTACAAGCCTTCTAATAAACTCCAGGTACACAATACTCACCTCCTTTTACTTGGATAACTAATCTGAAAATACTCAAAAAATTAGTTAAATTAGTTACTTGGATAACTACCGAAATCTCTTTAGCATATACAATCAATATAGATAATTGGGAGAAAAATTATAAATTTGGGATTAAAATTTGGGATATAGGGAAAGGTGGCGTTGGTGACAGGAGGAGACTCGTGAAGGGACAAGAAGACAAGGACAAGGACGACACTCTTCAGATGCTGCTTCAGTCGCAGACGGGGATGCCAAAGACCCCATGGCCATAGCTTCCGATATAGGATACGACGAGAATTGCAAGCAAGTGATTGATATCGTCGTCAAAGAGTACGGTCGCATTGATATTCTGGTTAACAACGCAGCAGAACAACACATGACAAAGTCTCTGGACGATATCACTGAAGATCGCCTTGAAAGGGTTTTCAGAACCAACATTTTCTCACAGTTCTTCTTGGTGAGGCATGCAGTGAAGCACATGAAAGAAGGAAGTTCGATAATCAACTCGACGTCGGTGAATGCGTACGGCGGGAATCCGATGACGTTGGACTACACGGCAACGAAAGGAGCCATTGTGGCGTTTACGAGAGGTTTGGCACTGCATCTGGTGAGCAAGGGGATTCGGGTCAATGCGGTGGCGCCGGGGCCGGTGTGGACGCCGTTACAGCCGGCGTCGATGCCTCCTGAAATGATCCAGAAACTGGGGTCGGATGTTCCAATGAATCGAGCAGCTCAACCTGCTGAGATTGCACCCTGTTACGTTTTCCTGGCTTCTCTTCAAGATTCTTCCTACTTCACCGGTCAAGTCCTCCATCCAAATGGTATGTTGCTCTATAATGCCTCATATACTATTTGGGATACAGTGAACAACACAGTAAAGTCTTTTCTCTTTTTTTTTTTTATTAAACTTTATTAAGTTTTCTTTTTTTCTTTTTTGGTCTGCCAAAGACCGTGTAACCTGGTGGCATTAATGATAGGAGTATCATTTTCTATTAAATGGATGCCATTGTAACTCTGTTGATTACGAAGCTTGTATTTTCTTATATTATCTATTCCAATATCCTCATCTCAATTTTTTTCATGTCCCAAACTCGGGTAAAGATAAAGAAGAGTTGAATTAAACTATTCAAAATAAAACTTTGGTTAAATCTCTTTGTGGACATTTTGTATCCAATAAATCAAATACAAATTTGTTTTATTCTTGAGCTTTTTATTTTGTTTTGCAGGCGGCATGATCGTCAACGCTTGAAGTTCCTTAATGCTCAACTGTTGATACGACAGAAATGGTCTCTTGAATGGAACTTGTTTGTGTGTGTGTGTGAAGATATATAATATAAAATAAGCCATGGTACGTGCCTATGTGGAGTTTATAAGTGTGTGAATTTTAATATGCAATAAGTGAGTTGAATTTTTAATAAGTTGCTCTCAGAACTGCTTTCACGTTTTAACATTCTCAAATCTTGTGCATTAGCTTTGTAAGTAAATTTTGATTTGGAGTTTTTTCTTACACTATATATTGATATGGTGGCCCCATGTTTTTGTATTTAATTTGTCAATGATGGCAAAAGGGTCTTTTTCTTTTTCTTTTGCCAACAAAAAGGTTATTCTTGTTTAAGATATATGCCTGCAAGTAATCCGAATAAAGGGCATATGTATACAAACACACACACGCACGTATGCACACACCATGCATGGTTATATTCCTTCATTCCCATCATAATTCATGGGAAAATTGTTTTTAAATGACAAAGCCATCTCCAACTACAGAGTTCTTCAATATAATGGTAACACCAGACCTGATGTAAAACCCTTCAGAAGATCTATCAGCCTCTTGTATGCCCTGCAGTTCATCCAACATCACAAATTCAGTGCTATTTCTTGATTTAAACCATTGCCTCACCTTAATCCACGCTTTTTAACTGATACAAACTAAACTGTTAATTACATATAAGACTATGAAAACATGAGCGTGGAAAGATGAACTTCATCTGCTTAAAATTTTTTCAATACCATATATAAGCTGTGAAAAGGAAACTAGATGTCAGATGGAAAGTGTATGGCATTTTGAAGAATCATACCTCTGAGTTTGCTATTACAACGTTCCTTCCAATTCTGGCATTTTTGTCAATAATGCAGTCTCTGCAGATTAGTAAGACAAAGTGAGAAACTTGAGCAATTGAAACTTATGCTGACCATTCTGGGTCACCAGTTTTTGGCTCGGTTATGTAAGCATTCAGACTGGACTAGGATCCGGTTTCTGGTTGAACCAGATGAACAGGTTTTCATGACATTGATTGAAACTAAACGGTTAGTAATGAAGAATTTGAGTCGCAGCTCCTACTTGATTTTGGTATTTTCTCCTATCCCAATTGGAACTCTTCCCTCAGCTAATAGTGCTGCTATTTCAGCATCAGTTTCATAGAAATCGGCTCCAAGCATCACGGTATCCTGCATAGAAGTGCAACATTTTACAGTTAAATAACTATGTTTTGAAATTTTACAGAACAATACTACTAGTAGTATTTTGGGATGCTTAATTACTGAAACTGAGAAATTCTATGCAAATGAGGAATCAGGTATCTGTGTTTTGCTAAGACCAGACCTTCAAGTGAACGTTTGAATTTATTCTGGATCGGATTCCAACCACACTGTGCTCTATGAAGGAATCCGTCAAGAAGCTTCCATGTGATATGATCGAATCAACAATCTGCACCCACAAGAACAAAAACTCGTATTTAAAATCAATATCAACATTAAATATAAAATTCATAGCAAATTGTATTCACAAATCATTAATAATATGGTTCATTCCTTAAACTTTATGAGGTAAAGAAGAGGTGGAGATTAAATGAAGATAAGTGTTATAGAGTAACTTATGAAGGCAAAGACACTAACCTTACATTTTTCAATCTTTGTTGGAGGCAAGTTTCTTCTTGATGTATACGTTGGTTTTGCTGCGTCATAGAAACTAAAGCGTGGTGGCTGCAAATCACAAAATTTCGAGTTTTAAGGTGACGGACTATAGATCTCAGACATGGAATGATGAACAAACCAGCCAAAACGAAGATTGACTTGAAATTTTTTTTTTTTTGATACAATACTTGAAAATATTTACTGCTTGGAATTTTACAAGTTTAATTGACTCCAAAGCTTCACCTGGACAAAAGATAAGTCAAACACTCACATGCTCGGTTAGGGCCAGATTTGCCTGAAAGAAGGATCTGATGGTTCCTATGTCCTCCCAGTAGTCATTGAAAAGATAAGCCTACAGGAAAATGTTCACTTCAAATAGAATTTTATAGATCATAATCTGTTAAAATGAACTTTCTGACATACAATAATTACATGAACATGACAATCTGATGGGTGCTTAAGTAGGATGGATAATCCTACCCAAAAGCTAAATGTTAAAATGGGAGCTCAGTGTCGGACTTAGTATCTCATACTATTAGGTCCCTATCACAATCCTATGTCTTACCATAAGTGAAATAACAATAAACTACCATAGAGAACTGTATTTAAAGGCTTTGAGACATATGCTGAGTCAGACCTTCATGTAGAATTCTCCAGCAGAGGCAGGAATGACCTCGGATCCAAAGTCATTTGCAGTTGGAAAACGCCATCTGAATGATAGACATTACAGAACTTAGCAATAGATGAAACGGAATAGACAGAAATGCCTTACGTTAAGCTAAGTAATTTGCTGTACCTTAATAGGTTTAGAAGTATCTCCTTCTTGAAGACATACACTCCCATGGAAGCAATGTATGGCTTCTCACGAGCCTCATCTGGTGATAGGCCCAGCACTGTTGTATCTACTTGCTAAAAATATGAAGCACCATTTCTAAAATACTAACTCTGATTTCTGAACTCACTCCT